TTTATTCTGACTGAATGCATGAGTTTAAATCTCTTATAACCATGACTCTGCGACGTATGTGAACTTCACCCTGCACATAGCTACTGCGTTCGTCCAGGAGTGTTTGGGCTACAAAATAATCTTTATCAGATAACTAATTTGAATTGACCATTGATGCGAATGTTATCTGATTTCATATGTCCCTGGTCTCTAAAATGACATTTAAACCCAGTAATTCGATGATCAATTTTAACAGGACACTTGTTGAATCCAAGTCAGTTAAGTGAGTGTTACTCGGCAAACAAAACAAGCATACTATATTCAGAAGTGTTTAAAATGACGTTACCTAGGAGTTCAGAGTTAGGATTGCAAACTGGGACCACATTTAACTTCAGAAACTCATAAATCACGTTAAAATTCACGCATATTTAAATTCTATCTGTACTTTATGACTTCTCCCATTAAAAGTCAATCACTTTCTCCTGTAACTTGAAGAATCCCTTCATTTCTTCAACATCACTTTAACTTGTGGCGGTAAATAAATTCTCAAAACAAATAGTCCTGTATGTCTTCGTTATTAATCCTGACCTCATTGGTTTTACTGTACAAGGACTAGATGAAATCGCTTGGTCACTCATCGTCACCAGATCACAAGTGGGTATGCCGTTCGACTGCCAGCCACATTAGACCAAACGCATCCCGACATATCCGTAGCTTTCCAAATATGTATTCGAACCTATTCATTTTTGATTTATGACTTGACTAGTTTGATACATTTAGATTATAAAGTTGTTACATGTAAAGGCGTTGTCGAAAACCGAGTAACTGTGTCATCTTTGAACCGGTTATGTTCATCAAATTTAGGCATCTTAACGACTAAATACTGGTACGCTTTTAAAATAACTCTTAATCAGGTGCAAATGATCCGGTGTTGTAAAACATATTTCTACCAGGAAGTCAACAGCCACTATTCCAGATTCGATTGACTTTTCGGTAAAGTATACTTTAATTCGAAACTGGAGTGTCAAAAAGAAACCAATTTTTCGGAAAAAGCACTGAGACTTCAACACATTATTCAACTGCCATTTAAGAATATGATCATTAACATTACACGATACGTTTATGGAAAAATTTGCTATAAGTAGTGGACACATCAACAGAATTCATCAGTTTTGAAACTAGGTCATGGGAACGACTCCAATAACTACTGTATTTTGTGAGAGTTCTCACAAAACCCTCAACAAAAGAATATACTGGACAGAGGCCAACCCCAGAAAAGTCAGATGATGAAAGCGCCATCCATAAAGACATGTCTATGGATAAATTTAACAAACGAAGTCTAGAGTCCCAGCTAAAAAAAACCTATTGTTCCACATGACACCAGTTTCGAACATCAAAAGCCTTAACACGTAGTTTGAAGCGTGATCTCAATAGTCCAGGAATAATATTCCGTAGGTTTAAATCACTAGTCTAGAGAGTGCGTGTTATTAGGGCACACAGGAGAGATTAGCTGTAAGGATAGGAGAATTACTAAAAGGTGAGAGAGAGATAGGATCGCGAACAAGTCGACCCTGGGTGCCCCCAGATGTATGAAGGCGGTCACTACTACCCGGCTCCCCATATTGTGGAAAGATATATTTTCCTGAGGGGTCTGAAGAGGAGACTGAGTTAGAGGTGGTCCTAGCGACCTGGGAGCGTGACTGCAGAGCCCAAGGAACAACTGCTTGGGGTTGGTCGCTCATGGTCCTTTATGGAAAGATTTTGACGGATTAACTCCGCACTTTAAACGACTTTACTACTGTAGACGGAAATCCTTAGGGGTAACCTGAGGTATGAAACTTTCAAAGTCGACCCTTTCTGTCCTCCTCTTATTGCGTTATTAGGGGGCAGCATCCCTACAGATGCTGGTTGTCTGAGTTAAGCACATTGCCGCCATCACAATCGTCTACAGTAAAGAGTACGAATTAGCTCTTTAACCCTAAATTACTGTCTTTGGTATCAAAGTTCCACAAACGACATAAAGAAACATGTGTTGCAACCAGTACTTCTCTCCTGAGTCTTAAAGATAAGCAAATCAGACCAACACGTCAACGAAATAGTTTCGACCGAGCCGAAAAGGTCGAGGACTAACGATCGAGTAGCAGAGAATCAAAAGGAAAATTCCCAAAAGTGTAATCAAATATTCATCTGGAAAGTTACAGTTAACCGTTCCGACAGGCTCATCAAAGTCCATTAGTGAACAACTGCCTACTTCATTAATTTCGTTCCTGTCAGACAAGATTTATTGTCGATAGCCGTATGACACCCAACAACAAATTGAAGTAATAGAGGTTAATCCTAACCAAAGTCAAGCGATAAAGATTTGGTCCAAGAAGACCGATAAGCATAGAACCATGGTTGAGGTAGTTTTGATGGAACTAAAAGTACAGATCAGAAAGATTAAAGGAAAGACTATACTGTTCGATGAAGTATTTTGAGGAGATACTTCGAGTGTTCTTTCTGTAACGCAAATTATTATCTATCGAATTATTCTCACCCTGAAACGTTGCTTGGACGGTATTCTAAGATGCCTAGAACTGGCCACAATCAGGGAGCTGCATCGGCAGTGAGTTGGTACCGACGATTTATGTAGAACACCGAGTCGCTTGTGAGATTACTGACATATATAATCATAATTTTTCTTTATCCTTGCACTACACATGACTCTGCCGATATTGGTAATATTAGAGCTCACGTGCGATATCTGAACGAAGTAATGATTATTTTGCACTTGAATGCCTGCTGATGCCGGATTCCAAATACAATGCGTTCGTTTGTGCTCATCTAGTACCGTCTGACTAAAAATGCATTGTTTCAGGAGTTCCTAATTAGCACATTAATCCGAATGCTAATTTTCATTTCGCAACAGATGCGTTATGTTCTTACCCTTCTGTCTCAATCCTGTCTTTACAAAACACGGGGTATAGCAAAGATCTCCCTCATTCTGGTCCAGACAACCCTCCCCATCCACACTCGATGACTTTTATTTATTAAACAAACTTAATATATGTAAGTTCATGGGACACGATGGCCCGCTAGCTTTATCGAAAATTCATCAGGTATATACTGTAATGTGTCAGTAATACAAAGTAGACCACCAAACAAATTGAAGAATGTCATATTATGTCTCGTATTCAAAATACGTGCGAGACAAAATCATATGAACTATCGGCCCGCAAGTTCAACCAAAGTGATTGCTAAGGAGCGATAAGAAATGATTCACAAGTTGTCTGAGTACTTCGACGAGGATCTGGTGCTTTCCGAAAGTGTAGCATAGTTCTAAGACAGGTCATTCATGTCTCACTGCTTTATTGATAGCTCGTGAAAGTTGCTGTGCCGTTAAAAAACCAGAAGCTATCTCGGGATCTAGCCTTCATCGATTTCAGTTGGGCTATTGGTGAGGTTACGTGACACAGACATTGGGAGCCACCTACTTACGAGGTGAGGAATTTTTTAGTTAGACATCAATAAAAAGTGCGGGTCAACTCCAAATGATTTGGCTGGGGGAACTGTGCTCATTGCAGTGTTGTGGGGTACAACCTTCGAACTAGTGCTTTTCTTCTGAATGCAAATGACTTTCCATGTGTCCTGAAATCATTAGTTTTGTTATCTGCATATGAGATCAAGATGTGGAGAGTGTTAAGAAATGATGAGCACAGTGTTGAGCTTCAAAATGACATGCGGCAATAATTTGAGTGGTCTATAATCTGGCAGCTTTCGACAAGTGATTCCAGGTGTATCATGTTGTATATTGGTCACAGAAGAACTGATACACACACAGTGAGTGACGTCGAGCTACATGCTGTCCAGACACAGGATGACCTGATGGTCATGTTTAGGAGAGACTTGAAGAGCACTGAACAATGCTGGGAGATATCTGTCGAAGGTTTTCAAATCTCACGTCCAATATTCAAGCCCTTGGACACGTCGATGCTACAGAACGAATCATTTCTCAGTTGACTAACGACTTTTGCATCGAATCATCAACAAATGAAATTCGTTACCTAAACTAATCATTTCCTACTGACCATTGAAAGATGGTTAGTACTCCCCCCTCACTCCAAAAGGACAAGGTCACTTTGGAGCGTATCCAACGGCGAGCCACGAAATCAGTTCGAGGACTCAAATCTAAACCTTACGAAGAACGCCTCCATTCACTAGACCTTTACCCATTAGAGTATAGGCGTCTTAGAGGTGATTTGTTAATGGCTTATAGTATTCTTAACAATTCTGGACATCCTCTTAAACACCTACTCAAGCTTAGTTCGAATAATAACCTAAGGGGTAACACCCAGAAACTGGAAACACAACGTAGCAAGACGGAATGTAGACACAACTTCTACTCCTTAAGAGTTGTCAAAAGCTGGAATTCGCTGCCGGCCGAGCTAGTACAAGTGAATTCTCAGGAGTCCTTCAAGAGGCAACTTGACCTATTCTTAAGGACCAAGGACTATGATTTACCGATTTCTTTTCCTCTTTTATTGTTAACATACCTAGGTTCCTGCCTGGAGGATTTGGTGATCCCCTGCTACTAGACACGGAAGCCTGTTAAGCGAAAGCTTCTTCTATTCCGTCCACAACCATTAGAACCATTTGAACCCATAGATCACATTTCAAGTCCAATCGCTTGAACAGCCACAATGTCTCTTTATATTGTACAAAACATTGAATAAATTCCTTTAGGATCACTTATGATCGTGTGTGTGATTGTCCATGGACGTTTCGTGATCCATGAAGGAGAAGATTGTTAGCAGGAGGCAAGGAAACTTGATTTTTCGGCTATCCTTTCCGAATTAAGTGGTAGAACATGTGGGAGCATGTAGTGGAAACAAGGTCTTAACTTATGTAACATTCATGAAGACACGAGTAGTTGCTAGTACGCGTAAACTATGATATTTTGAAGTTTGGGTCGTGCGATATCTATAAACTCACACTAGTCAGAGACGTCAGGACGGGTTAAACTACACTAAACCGACGACCTTAAAAGATTTCCTGGACGACCTTGACGACTCGTTCAAAAGTAGCCTGTCAAAATGTAGCTTACGTATAAGAGCTCTTGATTCCCCAGAAATTGCTTCAATTCTCTCTTTATTTGTTTCAACCAATGCTAGCAAGGCGTATGGCTTAACACTCTTTAAAACCTAATTTTCAACCCTCAATCTTTAAGACCTTACATTATTTTCCCAAAACTCCTACACCATAGACCCCAACTCTTAAACGCTTATACAATAGCACCTAGCCCTATAGGACTATAAAACGCCTTATGCCTAGATCCTAATTCCATCAGTAAGTTCACTACAATTACACCAAATTTTGCACTTCATTCCACAAACGTGCTACCATCCGATACTTTCGAAATACGAAATAAATTGAAAGTCATGGGTTACAATTACATGGCTTAAGCTTTAATATACTTTCGTGCAGTTAATTAACGTACTAACAGGAATCATTTTAGCTGGTCTAGCTCTTAGTTAGGAATTTTAAGGGACCAAACATAAAATGAGTACAAGAGGTGTGTTGAGGCTGGAACGAATTTGATAGGAATCGTGAGCATTTTACATGTTTCGGTTTGAGTTCACCCCCGCATTTCGGTCCACGTTTTAGTCGGAATTACTCCAGCGATGTATCCCACCGGTTTCCTATAATCGATATTGTTATTCAGTTCACAATGCCATATTCCAAATTAAGCCTTGTTTGAATGTTGAGTATCTTTATTTTCGACTCACTTTACGCTCGTTGTTGACATTAACTATGTTAGTGACGTTAGATAAGCCGGAAACATAAAACGGTGTTTTGGTTGGTTGACTAATATGAAGAGCCTTCTGGTATTTTCTATTCTCTTGGATAAACTGTGCATATATACCACCTTGTTGTGCTATTTTGTTTCCTTTTAGACGGCCTCCCCCGTAGGCCAAATATCAGAAGATAGTTGATTACTGTAGTCGAGATGTATTTGTTGGCGATCTCGTGGTATCGGAATAATACCGAGATCGTGCCAGGTTACAGGTGTGGCTACTGAGCGTAACCGAATTCGTGCAAGGTCACAATCGACGGAAGAATGTGTGTGCAGTTTCTTACATTGTCTACAAAGAGTTGTTAAATACTTTTGCATTTGTCTGACTAGTGATTGTCGCTATGTATAAATATGGTCATAAGGTGAACGAGAATCATTTGTAGTGTATCACTTCATGTTAATAATTTTTTCAGTGTATATCACCAACTACTAAGAGAACTATGTGTAACCAACCGTTCGGGAATTCTTTAGAGTTGCATTGATTAGTAGGATTTAATATTTTCGATAACTATGTAGGTTACTGACAAGTTTGTGTAGTAGGCTTTGAGCTACGCTGTTTTTTATATGAACCAGTAATCCAACCTCGCTGCCCGACCGAATCAAGTAAAGTGCATTGTAGCAGTTTAAACTATCGGCTACTAGTTTCGACTCCCAGATTGTATTAATCTGAGGCTTGTGTTCTTACTGATTATTGTTCGTTAGAGTTCTTATTGAAAGTAAGTGCATTGTGTGTGCTTGCTGGGTCGTCAACTCACATTTCGTTCCTGTTTCTCTACTTTGCAGACGACTCCACTCACACTACTCTGCCTACTCACCTAGTACACAACGCACACACAACACGGTCGCAGCCTTGCCTCAGATCTACATTATCTGTCGGAAAACATTGAAATAGTCTACAAACCCAGAAAATTCGATTTTATTTTTTGAAGTCTAGGATCGTAGGTTGTCTGCTAGTCATTTGCAGATTTGTGAAACACACGAAATATTGCAACGCTAAAATCATATGGAGACTTTTGTATTTTGAGCATATACATGCATATTTGTACCGAGCTCTGCATTGATTGGCCTATCGAGGCTCATTTTTCTTTCAAAAGGCGATCGAGGCCTATCAGTAGGTTTCAATGGCAGTTTCTCGACACTCGACAACATGGATTCCTGTTGTTCATTAGCCTAAATATCAGCTAGAAATTTTCAGAGGCTCCAACGTAATACACATAATATGAAGACTGTCAGAAACAGGCAGATATACAACTCAGTAATTTATGTTGTTAGTTAGTCGAGTTGATTGATCTGATGTTTCAGATTATATATGTCCATTTAGTTATTTATTAACTTATATCAACTACTGCCTAGTTCAACATATTCGAACCAACCCATCAATGTGATAAGAAAATGGCATATTTTTGAGTATGAGTTTGGATTACTTTTCGAATCATGTGTTTAAGGTCTAGTGCATCGATTGTTGGTGGATATATAAATGTTCATCTACAGTTTTGCCTCCTTTAAATAGGGCTGTCAGCTAATCGGTATTGTGAGACGCAAAACCTGGTACGTCAGTGCATCGGTTCGAGTCGCCATACTGCATTAACATAGTGATCGCATAGATTCCAACCAAGTATCCTAAACCCTTCAACATAACTCAGTCCCAGTTGTCAATGACTTCATAGAAGTGTGCTACGTCTTGTGGTGGGCCTTAGCTTTCTCTCAGTCTACTCTTGCGTCAGATAAAATCACTCACAGAGGTAGGTGGTGGCTAGGTATACGTAAAGTGTGTTGCAACCACCTCAATCTGTGGAATTTCACTACCTCATCGATGGGTTTACCATCTTGCCTGGTAGCCTACACATAACCCCACGATTTCTCAGTCAGTTATCCCAAAATACATCATAGGTGCTTCGAAGACATCTGTGGTCAATTACTAGTAAACTAGAAATATCCTCTGTTCTTGGTGACCACGTCTCACCAATTAAGCAGCACAAAGAAGTGCTATGGGTTAAGCTGGTTTTTTAGCTGGCAGATAAATATCTCGTCTAGGTAACACGGGGCTTGAATTGACGAGGACCAATCTAGGAGTTTGAATAATTTAACATAGACACGACAATCGAGCAATCAGTCCAAGTATTCTCGAAACCTGTCTGTTTGTTGTATAAACTATGTTTACGTTACATGTTTGAAAGTGAATATAGATAATTGAATTTCTGTTTCAGTTTTAAGAACGAATTTGAGGATGGATCAGTTGTTCTCCTATGTTTCTGTATGTTTCCTATGTCCGTACATGTGGATTGTTGTTGCTGTTAGTACATTGTATATCATTAAGAGAAAATACTTCGGTCATTGTGAGTGTACTCTTGAAGATCGTTTGGATGGTAAAACAGTTATTGTTACGGGATGCAATACTGGTATTGGATTAAAAACGGTGGATGAGTTGGCTCGCCGTGGGGCCCGCGTTATAATGGCATGCAGAGATCTAAGGAAGTGCGAATTGGCTCGACAGGAGCTTCTGACTAGAACTTGTAATGAGAAGCCATCAGTATTGAGTGTTCATGTGGAACCAGATCAAGTATGTTAATTGTGATTGTTTTACTAACATGATGTTTTTTTACTCATGGTTATCATGCCCAGATGAAATTAGATGGAGCAGGATCCAAACCTGTTATGTATTGTCTGTAATTTGAGTGCTTAAACCACTATTTCACCGCTCCACTACCATCTTCAGTGACTCCCTAGGTTTTATTTAGTCGATGTTATTTGTTGTTTAAAGTTGTTTGTTGAAAGATTGTTATTGAGCCATGAGTAAACCTTGTAATTATTATCTCGTTTTCAATAGCTTATTTGTGAAGAGTTGGATCTGGAGTCGCCAAAATCTATTCGAGAGTTTGCGAATCGTATCATTAGTAGAGAAAAATCAATTTCCATCTTAATTAATAATGCTGGAGCAGATTTTCCAGAGAAGATTTACGATGAGCTTGGAATTGAGAAACACTTGAAAGTGAATCATTTGGGTCATTTTCTGCTTACTAAATTATTAAAGCCGTGTTTGCATGCATCTGATGGGAAACCTTGTCGTGTAATCATTCTGTCATCTCTGTCACATTGGTTTGCTAAATTACACCCGAATAGCGGATTCTTGTCAGGTGTAGGCTCTGGTTATGCTATTAGTAAGCTGTTAAATGTGATTCATGCACGTGAGATTTGTAAACGTTGGTCTGGAGATGGAATTATTTCAGTCAGCGTTCATCCAGGCTTGGTGAGAACATCCATTTTTCGTTCATGCAAAGGGAAATATGTGAGTTGATGTTTGTATTATGTGTTATATCCAGTGTTTTTCCTTTGATTATAAAGCGAACTCCTTGTTTATGCATACAGTGTGTGGTTAATTGGTGCCTGTTTATGTTGACCCGAATGTTTATTACATAAGTATTCCATATTTACGGCAAAAATCTCAAACAAACTCTCTTTTGAGGTTTAGTTAACTGATCTCCACTGTGAACTAAACTGTGATGTTGCGAAATCTGACGAAGATTACTACCAAACAGCTGATGATGACGTTGGCATCAACTCTGTCTGTACAGTTAGTACAGCAATAGTAAATGAATGTGGTTACCCAAGAATGGAAAGATGACGAAGTGATCACCACTAGACAAGGATTAAGTAATGAGTTTGTTAGTGATATTTATACACGGACCACGTTGGGCCACGTGTTACGTATGCCTGAATACCGATTACCACGACGTGCAATGCTATCCGGTATTGGAGATGGTTGGAAGAAAGTTAGGGGCGGCCAAACCAAAACGTGGCATCAGTGCTTGAAGTCACTAACTTCTAGTCTGAGCCATGTTGGTAGATGCAGACTACTTGGTTGGGGCCCGCGTGACTATCGTAACCAATGGTTGGAGACTCTTGGTGACATGGCTCAGAATCGATCACAATGGCGTCGGTGTATACACTCCCTGTCTTCCCTTAAACTAAGAGATTAAAATCGCTTCATATCTTTCTTTCTACGAACCAATTCTTTCTTCTTGTACTATATCTCTATATGCAATCTTTCTCTTACATATTACTACCTTTGACCTAACCACTGCTATGAATCCGGTGTTCATCCTGTTGTGCTGATGCGGTATGGCAACCTGGACCGATGCACATATGTGCCTGGTCCTACGTTGTAGCTGACTGACTGAGTTGACGATCAATGTTCTTAGGTATGGAATGTGTGTGGGCCTTTAAGATACAAAGTGCTTTTGGAAGACTAGTAAAAACCTGTTCCCACACTCACTGTTTGTAGTGAACCTTTAGGGGTGTTTGGGCGTTGGTGGTAGTGTGGCTGATGAGATAAATCTACAAATATTAGAACTCAAAGTGGTTTATGTCAATCTGGGCCGTCTTTGTGTTAATACGTTATCATATATGAGCCATAACAGGAATCAGCGGTGATCTTGCTGTAATTTCCTTTTATACTTCAAAATGTGAGAGGAACTTCGTCACCTAAAAGAATTCGTTGTAATTGTGATCTGTTAAATTGATCCGTCTCTCCTATCATAATTTATTCTCCTCTACTGCCATTTACTTAATTGGTCATACTTCCTCTTCTTCTTTTACTTCACAATCTTATTGTCTTATCTGTGTAACGCACATCTACTTTGGTGTCCATTTGTAACAATATTTATGTGTTTGAATAAATAGTAATATAAATGGAGTTGTTGAAAGGTAAATAAGTGTTCAATTTGTTTCTGCGTACTCGTGTGCATGCATCTACCTGTTTATAGTAGAATATAAGACAGTATTTCGGAACTGTTACAGTGAAGCTGTTTACGTCGATTTTACTGATTAATATGTGATGAAATGCATGTGTTTGAGAGAATTTATAATGTATTGATGCGCATTTGTAAACTAATTAGCTTTTACTGTTCGACTAAGATTTGTTTTAATTTTAGTTTCTAGTCTACTATTTATTTCGATGGTTGACAAAAACATCCCGTGAAGGTGCTCAGACAACAGTATTTTGTGCTCTTGATAACAATCTCATTCCTGGTGCATTTTATTCTGAGTGTCGGCCACGCAGATGTAACTCCCAAGCATTAAATGATGAAATTTGCGATCATGTGTGGAAAACTTCGGAAGCACTTATCGACGAATGGGTATCGTTTAGTCAGAAGTAGAATTTGAAAATATTCTTTATTACTAAATGCTGTGTTAAATTAATGACATGTAAATACCACTGAGCTCATAAACTGTCATAGTCTTACTTATGCGAAACAGTAAAACATTTTCTGGAGTCCTTTTATTCATTTTGCTTAAATGACTAATATTTCACAGTAATTTATATAAGTCACTTTTTATTGTACACTGTTTTCTTCTCATAAGCTATGAACTACTGTCGATGAAGTCTCTTCCGTTGGGGTGCAAAGCTGTTTTGATAGATAGACCTAAACAACATCAGGGAACGACTGTGAAAATAGTTTTTCTCCAGTTTTTTGCGAAGACATCTACTAGTGGACGGTTTACATTTGTAAATAAATGTGAGGATCTCTATCATTTAACGGCAAATGGTATTATTTATCAAAGATCGAGCAGGAATTATATATTAGATGTGCATTTTAGATTATTCATAAATACCATGGTCGCACTCGACTTAATTGTTAGTCTTCTTCAAATGCTTAGACGATACTATTGAGGAAAGTGGTTTTCTCATTTTCCGCTCCTCACTACAATGTCAATGAAATATTTTGTTACAGGTTTTATGGAACGAAAGGAAGAAAGAATCGAAATATTCATCATGTTGAAGGTTGCATTTTCCAATCAGTGGATACGAAACAATTTTTGATATGAAATCGGTCTGTCACTCTTGAGATCAGTTTTACTTGAATGGGAAATGCTATTCGAAGGCTGTGGTAATGCTTGATTCGCGCCTAATCAGTTCAGTGTAGCCCTTCTGAATCTTGTGTGAACCTTAGTGTAGATGTGAGATAGGAATTAACTTTTCATTTCGAATCCCACCTGCTTATCTGGACAATTTCAATCATAGGGCGCATTGAATTCTTGACTAACATCAGAATTTAAAGTGATGATAAGAGTGTAATGCAATGTGTTTTAACTTACACATTTGCTTTATACATGCAAGTGTTTGGGGGTAAACAGAACTCACATTTATTGCTATTTCCTACCTGCTTACAGTACTATGTTTCACTGATACGAGCCAAAATGCCGTCTAGTGATTGCAAATTTTGATGACCTAAATAAATTCGAATCTCCACAAAAGAATAAAACACACTGATTGTTCCTATGTTCAAGAGATGTTTAGTGATTGTGGTATGTAAAGTGGTTCTTTCTGTTGTTTGAAGGCTTTTCGTGACGTGTTCATAAAATCTAATGTATACCTTCTGCTTTCGCCCAATGTAGCTGCTTCGACAAGTTCTTTTAAATTTATAGACACAATTGATGGTATAGTGGAAGGGTTACTTGTCGACCTTAGATCGGGTTATTAAGCATGGTTTATACAGGATTACTGGTTTGGTTTCAGGGTAGGTGCTTGCTCACTCAGTGATAAGCTTCGTGTTGAATGTGCTTGCGACGTTTCATCTTTGAAGCTCGGATTCATAAATATTGGTTTTTTATTGACTGTGGTCACATCTGTCTTGTTGTTTTGGGTTTTTTTATACTTTTTGATGAATTTCCGTGAGCAGCAGTTGCCTCACATGTATTTCTCAACGTTCCTCAATTCTTCCTCCAGTTTCTTGGTGGTACGTATCTTTTCTACTCTATAAAATAGTGCTTTGACTAACGCTTTCTTACAACTGATTGGACAGAATCTATTGAAATTCAACTAAAGACGATTGCAAGTGCTTTTTCGATAAACCGAACGTTGAACACTAATCCATATATTTATTTGTTGCTTGAGTTTGCTTCGAATTCTATATGTTCTTCAGTTGTAGGAACGTTGCCCTTGATTTACCAATCCTTTACATGTGGATCAGATCATCCTGATTTATCGACTTGGGAGTTGAGGTTTCCATACGTATAACACAATAAAAGCTCAAGAATAGTGGTGTGGTGTTCTGAACGATTGTCATTCTCAATCTCAACCACAGGTTATGTGACTCACAGCGTAGATTATGTCTAACGAGTTTGTACAATTTTACTGCTCTTCAGTAAATGGTAATTGCTTGAACAACATTACGGCACATTACCTCTACTTGCATTCACAATGTCTTACATTTTCCTCCGTTGGTTCAGTTATGTCTACTAGAGTACGTTTTAAAAAGATTTGGTAATTTCTGTTGCATAGACGACACTCAATACTATTATTTTTATAGAAGTCTTTGTATTCATCCAGATTTTCGAAAGGTGGTAGTCTTTTCCTTTAGGAAGACTACGGAATTTCTGTGATTTCATATGAATAAATGAGAATTAAAATAACTTCATTTTCCATAATCCATTTGTTGTAATAATGTGGTGTATTTTTTTAACTGAATTGGATAAAGTACTTCGATCGACATGTTTGATTTAGTTAGTGAGAATACTTTTGTAGAGAACTTTGATGGTTTTAGTATTTGAATCTGTAAAGCTAATGGGATAAATAATTTGAACATGATGTTATGTACAGTGTAAGTAAAATGTTTTCATGCATAGGTGTGTGAGACTTAATGAAGATACGAAAACATATACTGTCATGGTGAGCCGAATGTGTTTACGATTCTTTGTAGTTATTCTCCGCTAATCTGAATAGTATTGTTAGTTCAATTATAAGTTTTCTAATGCAAAACTGCGAATTGTGAAACCCTATCGGTTTATTTTCTTCCTGATCGATCCTATTGTCATTTAGGGTCATTTACACGTCATATTTGAGCAAATGTTTTCATCGTCAATTAATTGTGATAACGTGGTTTGGGGAGGCAATTTGTCAAGTAAACTTCTGGTGAATTTAACCCAGGAGGTTCAAATTTTGCTCTGTAACTGAATTTATAATTCCGAGTAATCAAGCAAGACGATAATTTTAGCAAGTTGTGATAACTTACAATCGAGCTGTTCCGTGTGCATGAAATTACTCTCTCTATGTAGAGCGAGTAACTAAACGTTCATGAAGAAATAATAAATATAGTGTTTAAATGGTTCGTGAATTCCTTTGCATCTGTATGCTGTATCCTGTTAATGTGGTTCAGTACGGGCCCACGATATTTAGGATCAAAACGATTGATCTACTGTTTTGCCATCTGTTCTCTTTGAAACTGGCAACGGACGTCTACACAAAACACTTCAACCTCCGGCGGCTAACACCTGAGGAAAACGGATCGCAGAGAGTTAAGGAAGCCACCACACAATGAATTTGTGCAGATGTTGTTGCAGTAATGGAGAAATATGACCTTCAAGCATGCCAAACAGATGGCAAAGTTCATGAGGAAAATTGAGATAAATGTGGACGCGCGAGCAATTATTGTTACTGAATATATTTTAGCATTTGCAGTAAGGTTTGACTATTATTGTAGTCGACTCGGCACTTTCTCTTTTACGAAAATCTTTTACTGCTTCCGGATTCAGTGGTCTTCATTCACTGTCGTTCACTTCGTCATGGTTACCACTGTAGCGTGGCGTCGAGTTGAGACTAACTATGAACACCACTACCAAGAAACACGTGTCAAGTTAATCAGAAGGCGGAGGTTGAACGTAACCAAATAAATCCATAAAATCCCCGAGAAGCCAAATATCAGAAGGCAGTTAATGGACCAAGTCGAGATATATTTGCTGGCGATCTCGTGGTATCGAAAGGATGCCGAGATCGTGCCAGGATACAAGCTTGGTTACAGAACGTAACCGAGTTCGCGAGAAGTCACAATCAAAGTGTAAGAATAAGAATGGAAGCACAATATAGCTGTCATTAGCACAGTCAAACAAAAGCACATTAAAACAAACACTGGTACCGTTGGTTATAATAATAATTGTTTTTATTAAACCAGTCGTGTTCTCGTGATAGATGTGAGTCACTGCACTACTTTCCTATTGGTTTTTGTGGTGCTGCTTCTGTTCTCTTGTCATCCTTGATATTTCTTTCGGAATCTCTAAAACGTCAAGGAGGGTGTCCATTGCTGTTCTAGTTTTTCTACGTATCCAGTTCTTGTGGCAATTTCAAAAATGGCCGCTTCACGTTCGTATTGAAGGCCCTGTCTTTGATGTTGGCTGACAGATATCTTGAGTTTCATATCTATTTCCATTCGTGGGAATGCTGCCCCTGATTTGCTTATACATTTGCATCGAATCTTCCTTGTAGACTAATGATGCTGCTACCCAGGTACTTGAACGTTTCCAACTCTTTCAGAGTTTCTCCACTAAGTGTTATAAAGTTGGTATTCTCCGTGTATTAAAGGATCTTGGATTTTCCCTTGTGTACTTTGCAGCATAATGCTGCAGAGACTGCTTCTACACTAGTTGTCTCCATCTGCATTCGTTCGTGTGTGTTGGCAGAAGGGCCGAATTATCTGTAAAGTCAAAATGGTCTAGTTGCCTCCAACATATCCTTTGTATTTCGTGCTTCCCTCAGATGTCGAAGACTTCATAATTCAGTCAATCACCTGAAGAACTAGGAAGGGAGAGAGTAGGTTGTTTCGTCTGACTCCAGTCCTCATCTAGAATACTTCTGTCAGCTATGCATGACTTCGCATCGTAGTCCTTCTTATGAATTCTGGATGATATTGACGATTTTCCCAGGAACACCATAGTGTTGAAAAACGTCCCATAGTATTCTCCTATCCGTGCTGTAAAACACTTTCTCACAGTCAAGGAGGTCGATGTATAGTGACAAATTCAAAAGTAATCATTAGTGTCGCGATTTGTCTGTCCACGACTGATCCTTACGGAATCCAGACTGCTGATCTCAAAGCTGGATGTCTACTGAATCTTTCATCCGGTTCAGAAACACTCTGTCGGAAACGTTTCCTAGCACTGACAGTCGTGTGATGCCTCTGTAGTTCTCACACTTCTACAGATTTCTTTTCTTTGGTGTCTTGATGAGATGTCCTTCTTTCCATTCCGTTAGCACTTGTTCTTCCTCGCAAATCTTCATGGATAAAACGTGGAGCATACTTGCAACTACTTCTATGTCTGACTTCATTCCTTCAGCTGGTATATCGTGAGGTCTTGGCCATCCTCATTCCTTCCGTCGTTGGTGGTGTGACATCCATAGGAAGGTCTGTTTGCGCTATTCGATGTCCAGTGGATTCAATGGAGCTGGGTTCAGTGGGGAATGTTTGTTTAAGAGTTCTTTAAAGTGTTCTGCTTACCTGTTTCGTTGTACCTAAATCTAAGTAACTGACTTGCCTTCTTTATACTTGACCACTTTGTCTGTCTTACTACTCTTCCCTGCCCGCTTCT